ACTCCATTCTATGTTACTATCTTGCAACCACCAGAGTTTAAAGCACCAACTGAGATAATATTCTTCCGCAAGTCGGGAACATGCCTCACATCCGTTAGGGTTCCGATCACTTCATCATGCATCTTGATTTTATATCACCAAGCCCCACCAGTTTATAAGCATGGTTATTCTCCATCAATACGGTTCCACCATAAATGCTTCTATAGGTAGTAAACCACTTCTTATTTGGACACATATGGTAAGAGCATCCTGAATCAAGAATCCATTTACTGGAGATATCTTCGCCACCCGTAACAACGTAACATTCTTTATCGCTCCCTTCCTCCAAGACGTAATCACCTCTTCCTTGCCTTCTCTCCTCTTGGTTTTGTTGTTATTCTTTTTCCCACATATTCTCTTGTTAAGACAATTGACATTGAAATGCCCAAGTTCACCTCATTTAGAACACGGTCTTCCCACAAGAGGTCTTGATTTCGATCTAAACTTTCCTCATTTGTCTTTTCCTTGTTCATTGATCCTTCCTCTAACAAACAATCCCTGTGCCTGCTACCACTAGTGGTCATATCACTAGTTACAATTTTTCAAAGATCATCTGCTAGAAGCGTCGTTCTAGTCTCATTCATCTTCAAATTATCACCCATAAGCATCAATGTTTGTATCAGGTTCTCATAAGAGTTTGGTAAAGAAAGAAGTAGCAGAAGTGCTTGATCCTTATCTTCTACAAGTAGATCCGATTTGATAGACTCTTTGTCATGAATGTACTCTCTAACTTTGATCACATGCCCGCAGTCGTTTCCTCTCCATCCACCAAGAAAGCAACACCCCTCTCAAGGCATATGATCGTCGCTCGTGCTTCGAAATCTAACTCTTCCCAATCCTCATCCGACAGATCTTTGTGCTTCTTTTCTCTTCCTGCCAAACCCTTGTGTAATTTCTACGAAATCAGCGGATTTTTTTCTATGCATCCTCCAATAGGAAAAATCATTCTTCCCTTTGAACTTTTCAATCTCGTACTTTCCAACTTTAACTGTTTTACTGATAGATGCCATCCTCCGCTTGTTTCAGTAAAACGCCTCTCTCAGGAAATTTTAACAAATACCTTGTGTGCATCACACAATAACCAAGTACCATCTCAAATCGAAAGCTCAATCACCGCCAATCTGAATAAGGGCTGTGGTACCACTTGTTAGGGTCGAGAGAAGCCCACACGGCCGCGGAAGCGATATCAACTTCAAGAGAGAAAAACAACCCTAGCTAGAATTTACACCAAACTCAAAACCAACGATTCACAAGCAATAGTGAATACGCAGATAAAATTAAGTAAATAAGATAATATAACATATTTACGTGATTCGACAAACTTGCCTACGTTCACGGGAGCCGCACAAATAATTTCTTATTTAACCACAAGAAATTATAAAGCTTGCAAAGAGAAGACCTCAAACTTGAGGTCTCTCAATCAAAATATTGATCACTGTAGAATTGCTACAGTACCACGTGTGATTTTTCACTAAGAAATCACCGCTCAATCTCAATGAGAATCACCTTTAAAGGCTTCTCAAAATCACCGCATCTCTTGAGAAACCGCCACCACCTTAAACCCTCTCAAAAATTGCGAGATGAGCGGCTCGACGATTCTCGTGAACATGCTTTCCTTTTTATAGGGAAACCCTATGTCGCGTTCAGATGATCTCCCTCCAGCTGGCTTCCACCACGCAGGCGAGCTCGAGTGCTCCATCAGGCGAGGTCTACGTACAAGTGAGCTCTTTATCAGGCGAGCTCGAACCGCTACACGCAGGCGAGCTTCCATGCTAGGCCTACGTCAGGCGAGCTCGAACCCATCAAGCGAGCTTCCACGCCAGGCCGCCCGTAGACAAGCTCTAACCCCTTTCACGTAGGCGAGGTCACCTTAGCAGGCGAGCTCTCCACCCCCACGCAGGT